ATTACATTTGAAATAGAGTTGTGGAATTTTTTTTTCATTTAGAAAAGCTTTTTCTTTGTGTAAAATAACAATTACAATTGAATACAAAATACATAGTAAAAATTATTTAAAATAACTATTTAATAATAGTAAATAACATTAAAATAAATAAGTACACTGAAAAAAAATTATTTGGATGAAATAAATTCTAATTGAGGGCTCGGATCGAAGAACCGACGCTTCGCAATGTTCTGTGCGTTTACAAGCGTCGCGACGCTTGTAAACGCACAGAACATTGCGAAGCGTCGGTTCTTCGATCCGAGCCACAGTGGGAAAAAAACGACTTATTTTATTCAAAAATTCACCGACAACACAAATTTCAATGGATTTCTATGTTTTTTATTTTAAAATTCTCAGAAAGGATTGGACTAAAACATGTCACTGCGGAATCGTGTCAATTTCTCAAAATAACCTTAAAAATGTCAATAACTAAGAGAATTACAGAAAAATGTTTGCAAGGTGAGAAATTTTAATCTTGCAGCAAGCTTGCCCGCAAGATTGCTATAAGGTTACGTGCTATCTGGAATCTTAAATTTTTAATTTCAACCCCATATTTTCGAAACCAGTTATCTCAAAAATTTTCATATAATAAGTTTCGTAAGTATTTAGCAATATTCGGAAAATTGATGCGCCATTTTTAATTATCTTTTTTTAAAAATAAGCAACAAATTTATACAACCATGTTTTTGTAATTCTCTTAGTTTTTGACATTTTTTAAGGTTATTTTAAGAAATTGACACGATTCCGCAGTGACATGTTTTAGCCCAATCCTTTCTGAGAATTTGAAAATAAAAATCATAGAGATCCATTGAAATTTGTGTTGTCGGTGAATTTTTGAATAAAATAAGTTGCTTTTTTCCTACTGTGCTTCGGTTCTTGGATCCGAGCCCTCAATTAATTCAATTGAATCTGGTCAATTGAATCTATATTTGAACCAAATAAATATTCACTTGGCATAATAGTACATTATGCAACAATATAACATTATGCATACTTTGCTTTATACAACAAAGGAGTAGTATGGTTACTCTATGCTACCTGTACCGGTGCATGCTAAGTTCTCCCATATAACCCAGCCGGTCAATAAAGTAACCATTATTGCCCTACACGGAAAGAAGGTTTCACCATATAAACACTGTGCAAGCACCTTATTTCTATGTTTGTGACACATAGAAGTAGGGTGCAAAGTTAGCAGTATCTTTTTTCGTGCCTTTTACCGCTCTCTGACGGTGCACGTAAGAAGATAAGAGGGTACACGCATGAGATATTACTATGAATGCACCGAAATTTTCGGTGACGTCACCGTAATTTTCGGCGACGCTCACCATAAAATCCCGTGCCTTCACTGGATTTCGCCGTGCTTGTCAGACTGTTCTAACCTGTCAAACGAGGCACTGTCGTTATGGGTGAAACCTTCTTTCCGTGTAGGGAGATAAAGGGTAGTTTATTGACCTGTGAACGGTCAATAATGTACCCTTTATTTCCCTAGGGCTATAATAGTTTCTTAATTGACTGCTGGGTTATAAGGGGGAACTTAGTACGCGCCTGTACAGGTAGATAAAGTGACCATAATACGCCTGAGTTGTATAAATATATGTTATTTTATCGTATGAAGTAAATAGTAGTTTGTATCAAATTTAAATTATTTGAATGAAAAGAATTTTTTATAAGCATAAATATTATTTTTAACTAAATGTGAAAATTTATTAGTATTTTTAATTCAATTAAATACCTATTTATATTCACAAATGAAATTTTTTTTGAAAGTAGTAAAACAGATATTTTGAAAGAAGTATTGGACTATTATTCAACATAAATAATTGATCTAATAAATAGGGTAGAGGGCCCCAAGGTGGCCATCCTAGGGAAATTCTTGTGCATTATTTGGCAGCACTGAATGCTTCAGGTTATTTTCATTGTTTATGAAGACGGAATTTTTGGTTATGTTTAGACGTGTATAACTAAACGCGTTGATTTCTAACATAGACATCGTTAAATTTCGGTTATAAAAAGTTTGAAAGCATTGTTTTTAAAGGCATACTGTGATTACAGTTAATAGTTTAAAAGTTCTAAACTTTGTGGTAATTTTGTTTACATATAATATAATATTATAAATGAATATATCGATAAAAATGTGTGTTATACAATTTTTTGATAACTTTTAAAAAATGTCGTCCTGGCCCTAAGGTGGCCACCATGCGTTTTTATGTAAAATCACTTTTAAAATTTTTTACGATGTAATATATTTATCAAAATATATTATGGAAAATGTAAATTTTATCGATTCGGAAAATTTTATGATGAATAATAAAATAATTTAGTTTTTAATGTATGAAATAGAATAATACTTAACAATATATCAGAATGTCTTCTTAGAAGTAAAAATTAGAGTTTGCAACTAATGATTCTGTGATTATAAGCCAAAAGCAACACAGAAAAAAACCCGACTCACTTTTGTTGTAACGCATTTGGAAATCGGTCTCGAAATGAGTAATTGACAACTTAAAGTGACTCGAAATGAGTAATCGGCAACTTCAAGTGACTCAAAATGAAAAAATGTCAGGTTAGGAAGTAAGCAAATAAGGCAGTTAGTAAGCAAGAAGGAAATAAGCAAGTACGCAAAGTAAGCAAGAAGGAAACAAGCAAGTAAGCAAATAAGTAGGTAAGAAAGTAAGCAAGATGGAAATAAGCAAGTAAGTATGCAAATAACGAAGTAAGCTTGTAAGCAAGCAAGTTATTTCCTTTTTGCATATACTTGCTTACTTTATTACCTACATACTTGCATACTTACTTATGTTTAATTGCTTACTTATTTATTTCCTTCTTGCTTACTTACTTATGTTTAATAAATAATGAAAATTAACGATCACTCCGAGTCAAGGAAAATAAAAATAAAAGAAATTCAATTCTTTTTACGTTTCGGCAGCACAGCTGTCCTCTTCAGAACGAAAAAAAGGAAATTAGAAAAATTAAAATTATAAATTAAGATAGGTACATCTTTGTCGCTACGATTACAATATGACACTCAAGATGTACCTATCTTAATTTATAATTTTAATTTTTCTAATTTTCTTTTTTTCTTTCTGAAGAGGACAGCTGTGCTGCCGAAACGTAAAAAGAATTGAATTTCTTTTATTTTTATTTTCCTTGACTCGGAGTGATCGTTAATTTTCACTATTTATTAAAATACGACTGAGTGATAGAATCATCTCTACTCTTATTACTTATGTTTACTTGCTTACTTTCTTGCTTGCTTGTTTGCTTACTTACTTACTATTATTCAGATTCAGTGATTTATTATTTGATCCAATTATTTTTTTATTTGTCCTTATTAAATATTTTATTAGCATTAAATAATGCATTATTAGCATTAAATAATGCATTATTTGCATTTAATAATTTAGTTTATTTGAAGCCATAAAATTAATTAATTGCGCCAAATAATTTTTATTCATATTAAATATCTAATTAATTGAGTCAAATAAATAGGTCTGAATGGGGCAAGGATAGTTAGGTAAGACGTTTTCGGATCTAGCAGCCAAACCTGAACATGTATCTGCAAGCGAGTAGTATTTTTGAAATGCCTGGTTATTTTGGCTATAATTTTGCTATACATTATTTTGCTGTAGACTGCAATCCCTACGAGATACGAATAAAAAAGTAAAAAAAAGAATCCTAATGACAAAAATGGCATAGAAAATCAGTAAATTTTCGTTTTCTCTATTTTATTGCATTTAGACTATTTCAATATTGGTATCTCAAGTATTAACAACATGTTTTGAACATTTTCTAAATATTAATTATTATTGCATTAAAATTCGTCTGAACTAGAAACTGTGGTTTAAACAATTTTCTTCAGACGACCACCAATTTCTTGGTCAATAAGCTTCGTTTTCCGTATATAATTACGCACCATTATGTATATTAACCTAAAAAGAAAAATTAAACATTTTTTTATAATTTGCAGTCGCATTAGCAGGATTTTATCGAGGCGCAATAGCTCTAATATCCTTGCCCCGTGAGCCCATATTTCAGTTTTTTCTAAATTTTAAGGAACGACGTGAATTAATTTGAAAATAAATACAATATATTCGTGTTCAGCAGGAAATTCCACTCCGGAAAACACTTATGTAAATAAATATTCAGGAGCACTAATATAGAAAACAATATGATAAACACTATGTTGACATTTTATCAAAACAGATTTTTTACAAAAATAAACTCCTGACTTCGCAAATGGTGACAGATTGACTTCCAATGTTTACTATCTTCTGCGCTATTGGTGTGAAGACGCGAACATATCATGAAAGACGCGCTTTTTGAACAAGCCGTTTAAGCATGACAGCAACTAACTATCCTTGCCCCATCCTCCCCGTAAATTAAATGTTTCAAATAACTCATTATTTTGGTTTCAATAAGTTATTTATTTGATCCAAATATTTTTTATTTGTTTCTATTAAATACTATATTTGCATTGAATAATGGATTATTTGAATTAAATAATTTAGTTTACTTGAACCGATAAAATAAATTAATTGTGTCAAATAATGTTTATTTATATCAAATATCCAATTAGTTGAGTGAAATAAATAAGTTAATTGTATCAAATAATTTTTTTCAGTATAATATGTATAATACCCTATATATTTTTGGACATTTTCAGCAATCTAAAATTTTTGCACTATTATACCTAATATAACCCCGGGGTGCCAGCGGGCTGGAACTTTATAGCAAAATTGTTATGGCCAATAGGTATAAAAAGAACCAATAATACATATAAATATATAGTTTCTTCCATATTGGAGTTCTGAGAAAGGGGGTATCTATCCGCACTTTACCCTATATATCAGTAAAACTAAGAAACAAATGCCCAAGACGTTATCGTTGAATTTTTGCGCACAATATTTTATATTCGCTCTTTAATAAATAAATGAAATGTAGTAATAAATTATGGTTTGCAGCATTATCGTGGAAGCATGAAATCCTTAAATACGGGCATAGTGACCTTGTTGAATTATGGGAAGCACGTCCCTCCTGCAGTTTCTCACGTGACTTTGGCCCACGAGATTGGTCACAACTTTGGCTCACCGGTAAGTGGAGTTTAAAGTTTTTTCGCTACCTTTAGAACACATGCAGCTGTCGAGGCACTTTTTTTCTTTTTCTCTTGCTAAATTAAATTATTAAATTCGTAAAACATTTCATTAAAAATTAAATTTAACAAATTAGTTGAATAAAAGCAACTAGGTATACACGGAGAGAAATGTGTTACGAATAATGCTAGAGACATGTTGGTTCGCTTTTCGCATAGACGTCGCTACCTAATTTTGCAAAGGCCGGTGCTAACTTTGCAAAGCTTGTGCCCACTTGTGCCACAGTTGCTCGAATCCATGAAAAATCAGCATGGATTTCTTGCAACTTACACTGAGAAAACTGAAGGATTGGACTAAACATTTAGAGAGACTAATCGTTCATATTTGAAAGTTGACTATTGGAAAACAATCTAAATATTCAAATACACCATTGACAGATATTCGTGCCATTTTTGTTGGAGGGAAAATGAGTTCATAACAGAGGGACAAATTAACCATCTTGAGAAATCCCTTTCTTATCCGGCGCGAAATAAATAAATATGGCAACCTAACCCATAAATTAAATACATAAAATGTCACAAAAATAAGTTCGCGCGCATCAGATCGTATACATGTTCTGCGCAATTTTTAACCCTTAGATATAATGGGAGAGAATATACAATTAGATTTCCATTATCAATTCAAAATTTATTTTAGAAGGACTATTTAACTCTCTTCATGCGCTAAGAGCAACAGATTTCTCTCCGTGTAGTAATAAGTAGAGAACGAAAACTATTTTGGATGAAAAATACTAACTATGAATGAAATAAATAAGTTTCATTTAGTTATTATGTACGTTTAGTTAATAGTTACATATATTTACTTATTGGTTACATTTAGTTACTGCACTGAAAAAAATTTGGTCCAAATCTTCAACTACCATTACCTAGTTGAGTGGAAAGTTGTTAAATTAATTACTTTTTTAGTTTTGCTAACAATTTTCGTGTAGATGATTTTACTACTTTTGATGTAATTAAAGAATATAGTTCAGATGACTAAAAAAAAGTAGTTAAATTACAACAACAACTACAAAATCTGATTATACCAACTACATTCTTAGTTCTTTTTACTACTTTTCGGTAGTCAATATAACTTTTTAAATTCAGTTGAGTTATTAGTTACAATTATTTTTAGTTATATTCAGTTATTAATTTCTCATTCAGTTTTTAGTTCCATTTAGTTGTCATTTAAATTCAGTTATTAGTAAAATTTAGTTATAAAGTACAATTACTTGTTAGTTACATTCAGTTATTACTTATTAGTTACAATATTTTCTTAGTTAAATTTAGTTACCAGTTAAAATTATTTATTAGTTCAATTTAGTTATTCTCTCTATATTTGAAATTTTGATTTAGTAAAAAAATTTTCTAATTTGAATTAGTGAATGACTTTTGGCTTTTCAATTAGTAATTAATTTTAGTAATAATTTGAAATATATTCCCAGAATTGATTAATTTTTTTCTATGAAACTAATTACTTTTAATTAATTTAACTTAAAAAAAAACGTTAATTTTTTTGATTTATTTTTATAATATTTATAAGTATAGGGGAGAGTAGTCAGGGTTGGGTATAGTTTTGACTTTTCTTCATAACTTCCCCTGTAGTACAATTTTTCGCGATTTTGCGCATATTGTTGGAAAGATCTACTCAAACGCAATGTTTAAAAAAAAAAGTTGCTAGGGACGAACACGGTTGTCAGAGTTGAGCCACCGTAAAAAACAAATGAAATATGTAGGTAAATAATTAAAAATTACCTTCAAATGATAGAGTGACACTAAGGGAATAAAACAAAATAAAGGCGGTGGCTCAACCCTAAAAACTGCCCAACCCTGACAACTCTCTCCTATCTAATTTGTAAAAAAAACTCATTTTTCCATATTGATGAAGAGAAGACTATTTTGTTATTTAGGTTTTATCAAGTGTAAATTTGTAGATCATTTAGTTTGTCTGATCACACTGCAAAAATAGATGTCTTTTTTTTACATCTTAAAATAAGATGTAAGATGGAAAAATGGCACACTGAGAGAAAAATATATTACTGGGTAACATAATGATGGTACGGGGTACCACCTTTGATGTTACAGATACGGACAGCTATCTATATTGTATCAGGTACAATCAGATTGTACGGAGTAACATCTTTGATTGCAGTGGGTAACATACCTAACCATATTTTTGTAACATCTTTGCAAAAAAAAACGATAATCTAATTTTAAGAATCGCCTACTTAAATAGGAGCCAAGAATATTCCCTACTTAAATTAAGTGGGAAATATTCTTACAATAAGAATATCAATATTCTTGGCTCCTATTTAAGTAAGAGCTTCTTAAAATTAGATTATCGTTTTTTCTGTGTAATAGTACTCAGTAACATAATGATGGTACTGGGTAACATCTACTTTTTAACATCAAAATCTTACCATCCATTTCTCTCAGTGCATCTTCCATTTTAAAATAAGTTGTTTTTTAAAGTATCTTACTGATATTTAAGATGCTTTATACGTTTTAGTACCGTCAAATAGGGTACCTCCGGACAGGAGGCTAACTTCGGACATTCGTATATTTCTGTAAATATTTTGTATTTCCATTCTACCTAAAAAATTTTATAAGGATTTCGCATTTCTATTGCTTTATCGAACATTCAAGGAACATTATATGACAGTTGAGAAATAAAAATGATCAAAAAAATTTAAGAAAAAAATTAATTTAGTTGGAAGAGATTTCTGGAAGTTATTGAAATTTGTGAAAAAACTTATTTATATAAACGAACATATGTGAGGTAAAAGCTATTTCTTTTTTAAAATTTAATTTACTATGCCTTGACATCAAATTAACACTAATTTCAATAACCTCAATTCGAAAATTATTTCGTAAATTATTTTTATTTAAGAAAATGTAATGGTCAGATACACGTCTTCTGGCGTTGATTACAGTAAATTGAGTCAAACTTTACTTTTATTAAATGTTTAAAAGCTTTAAATATATATATTGTTTATATTCTAAAATTGTATTACATTCGTATGTCCGAAAAATTATATTAAAAATTGCTAAATTTTAAAAATGTTCTTTTTTTAAATGCACCATTAATTGAATTTAATTAGTTTTTGTTCGTCTAAAAAAATTATAATAAATAGTCTGAGAACCTTAGAATAGTTTCTTGTAAAAACAAAAATACGTAAATAATGTAATTATCCAAGATAATTTTAAATTACACAAAAAATTATACAGTGTCCCAACTTTACCCCCCTTTGAAGGCTAACTCCGGACACTTGTTTTTTACTTCACAGAAAATAACAGAGATAAATAAAAAAATGTTAACTAGAAATATCAACACACAAGACCCTAAGGATGATATATTCTGAACGTCAAACTGCAAGATATTATATTATAAAAAATATTAATACACTGGAATCTAGATCGGTGAGCTCGGGATCGTTGAGACTCTGTTTATATAGTTTGTAGGCGAGGAAAGGTGGAGGGCTAGCGGGGACTTTCAAATGTCGATCAATGCCGTGCCTAATTGTAGAAGAAAAAGGTTCTCAGTGCCCGATGCTATTTATTTTATTTGATAACTTCATCATTATTTACTTTTTTTTCTTTTTAATATAAATACATTTTATTTTTGTATAATGTTTTATAATATTTTGTTATTTATATTAATTTTCTAACATGAATTATTTTTTAAAAGAATGGTGCAAACAAAAAATACTTCGTACGGCCCTGTTTGTGTTGCTTCTCAGTCTCAACTAATCCGCTAGATCGGTGAGAAGCCATCCCCGATTAGTCTCACCGATCTAGATTCCAGTGTAAAAAACATCGAAAACCGTCCGAAGTTACCCTATATTTGACGGTAGTGATCCAGATATTTCTTCCATCTAAGGGTGCAGTCCAATGCTAAACAGAAAACACAATGCAAAGCAGAATTTCGTGAGTGCAAGAGAGGTAGTCAGATATCACTATCCTTTCCACTCTCACGAAATTCTGCTTTGCATTGTGTTTTCTGCTTAACATGGGACTGTACCCTAAGAAAAGTAAGTTACTTTGGCAAGTTTTTTAAAGTATCTTAAATTAAGATGTTTCTCGCGCAATAAAATGTTTAGCGATAAGTTACTTGTGAATTGTAAGGGAAGTGTTCCGGTTGTAGGCACCCTTTTGTTTTTACCTCATAACATTTGTCCATGTGCATATTATACAAATATATGTGTACGAATTTAAAGCTAGAGGTCTAAGGTGACTATCAGTGAAGGAATTAAATTGATTCCTTTAAATAAAAAAGTTTTATTAGAAATTTAGTGAAATAGAAATTTTTTGACAAAAAAATTTTTGTACCCGGTTGTGGGCACCCTTGAAAAATCCGCTAAAAATGGAAAAATATTTAAGGAAACCAACACAAATAACCCGTGTGGAAAAATTTTAGGGCGCTGACCAAGCGCTTAATAGACTGTCTAACGTCTTTCTAGACCCAGGGCAGACGGTCTTGTCGAGCGGCTGTTCAGAATTGAAACGAAACTTCCACGCTATCGTCTAGAATAGACCAGCGTTTCTGGTCTGATCAGCAGTGCTAGTAAATTCTAATCTACGTCTATTCAAAATTTCTCATTATATGTTATGACAACTATTCTTAGAATAATAAAACTTAATTATATTTGAAATAATTTTAATGACTTTTTTTTATATAAAAAGTATTAAAAAATATTTTAACTTTCTGTATTTTTCACTTCAACTTTCTTTAAGCATAAGGCTTTGTGTCCCTCCCAATCTTTGGCATTGGAGATAGTAGTCTTTTTGTAAAATAAAATTTACTGCAAATCAAAACAGCCGGATGAAACTATCAGTCGTACTCAGCACCAATCTTTAGGCGTCAACCACTAATTAATGAAATTAATAAATAAAAACTTACTAAATTTGCTATTTAGTGAATATTGATTCTCAAATAACAATACTCGATGGTTTTTTAAATCATTAAGTATTACAAAATTTGAAGGAGAGGCATATTTGTAGATGACGCCTAAACATTGATGCTGAGTACGACTGCTAGCTTCAGCCGACTAATCAAAACACATAGAAACACATCAAAATCTATTTTTTCAGTGCACATTTAAAATTAAATTATACAGAAAACAACAACAACATAGCACATTATTATTCACGTAAAACAGAAACCACAACAAATACTATAATTCACAAACAAAATGCATCACACACTGACTGATCTAACGACGCCAAACGACGCGACGCCATTAGGCGCCATGTTACTTAACAGCTGGGCATTCATCGACGCATGCGCATATAACATCCTAGACCAAATCTAGACGGTCTTAATAACACCGTACTAGACGGACATATTTGACTTAGATTTTTTCTAATAAGCCAATCTGTTAAGTCACTGATTCGGGACTTGATGGACCGTCTAGAATTAGACGGACTTGATGATTGCTAATCGGGAAATCATTGGACTCTAGACTGCCACAATATTTTTCCACACGGGAAAGAACAAATGAAAGTTTCTTTATTTTAAGAGACTTTGCCGGGATAAAGAACAAAAATGATGACACGTTTTCACAGTATGCTCATCGCTAACAAAAGCATAATGCTTGCATGTGAAGTAGCTAGTACGAATAACATAACGCACTTCGAATGCACTGAACGACTATATTCATCGCATTTAATGGAGTTTGCGGCTGTCACATTCCTTGGCAGAAAGTTTAGATAGATGAGACAGTAGTCCACATCACTGTCAGATGGTAGAGCCTCCTTAACATAAAGGTGCCTACAACCGGGAATGACAGTCATTTTTTAAAAAGACCAACACATTTTGTGATGCAGGATTTTGGTTAAACACGAAGGTAAATCACAAAATATAATGACAACACTGCAAAAAAAAAATTAAACCCTTTTTTTCTGAACGAATCTACACTTATATGTTGCTCTTCGAAAACAATAAAAAATTACTTTTTTATTAATTTAATGCAAATTTTCTTTATTATGCTCACAGCTATTACACAAATACATATATTTGTTTCGTTATCAATACGAAAAGTCCGTATTGTCAACGAACACGACTTGCAATACTTAGATCAGTAAAGTCTGTTTGCCGTCGAAGTTTACGTAGGGGTGCCCACAACCGGCGCACTTCCCCTACAATGCGTCAAAAATAAAAGTTACTAAACTCATGTTGCCTGTTGCACTCGCTTCCGATTCGTGGCGCTAATGTCGCTCTTATATAAACTCCGCTTTCGAGAACGAGTGTCATATTATACTACTTTATATAATAAATGTATAAAAAGTCAAAGAAATTGCACGCATATACAGTGAAGGACACAAACAATTGCACTGTTATACTATCAAGTCCTCATAAACGTCTGGTCGCGCAGGGGGTTCGCCCCCCTCCGACGGGGTCCAGGAGCGGAGCCCCGGCCAGGGGGTTGGGGGCGGAGCCCCCCGACTACAAAAAAACCAACTCAAAAGAATAATAATTTATGACATTTCAAAGAACAGCATTTTCTAATACATCAAGAGACCGGACGCGTCGGGGGGCAAAGCCCCCCGAAACCTAATCGAGTACTTAGACATATCAATAAAAAGTATGATAAAAGAATAAAAACAGAATTTTTCACGTGAGCGATCTCATCAAGAAGGTTAGAAACTCTCAGAAAATGGCGCGAGTCGTGTAGACTTTTTTACCGACATGCATTCTAATTTGATTTTCTTCTCACAGATGGCGCATTTTTAGTTGTGCTTCCGCCGCTTTAAATAGCAAGTCACTACAACGTTTCTGATTGGCTGTTAAATGAAAACTGTGAAATAAAAGTGTAAAATAAAGTAAAAAGTGTGAAATAAAGAGACTAGGAACAATATACGCATGCGCGGAAATATTTATATGATCGTTTGCTATAAAACGCCCTTTCTCGCACATTTTCCTTGCACCAGAAGTGTGACTTTTTATGCATGTATCATATAAAGATATTTCAAGTAACTAAAAAGTGTACAAAAACATAGAAATGACTACCAAAACATCTTATATTTTTGCAGTGTAAATGGAGTTTTACTAACTAAGCTTCTAAAGTATATGTATGTATGTACTTTCCCGTCTGACTCGAAAAGTTTTTACTACTCACTCATTTCCCTGTGTCTCGGTCTTATTGCATAAGACTTTTTCTACTTAAAGTTATCAATTTAAGGGCTCTACCCACTTTAGACTCGCTAAAAAAGGCTATTTTTGAATTTTTTTTTTCAGGTTTAAATTGTAAATATTGACATGCGAGGTTTCATACATAAATAAATACACTCTCGAAGTGCAAGAAAAAAACAGTTTTAATTTTTTTATATGTATTTTTTTATTTAAAAATAATTATTGAAAAATATTTGAAAAAGTGCGCCGTTGATGAAATTTTTAGCATGGATGGTCTAAAACAAAAAATCCAAATTTTATTAGATTTAGCATGTTCATAGCTATATGTAGCGCATGTCAAGGGATTTGAAAAATGTTTATTTTAAATATATTTTTGTGTGTCTATTTTTAAAGAAAAACGGTTTATTTGTGTAAAATTTTGCTGGTCGAAAGGAAATTACAAAAATTACTTTTTACGCAGAGAGTGAATATAAAAAACAGGAAAGAAGGAAAACTATATTATTATCTTTTTTATTTTCCTTTAGCACGATCCAGAGCAATGCACACCTGGTGGAGAGGACGGAAATTTTATAATGTTTGCTCGTGCTACCAGCGGTGACAAGCGAAACAATAATCGTTTTAGTCCTTGTAGTCTTAATGCCATCAATCCTGTTCTGAACACGAAAGCTCGATCTCATAAAGGATGTTTTACCGGTGAGTTTTTATTAAATTGTGACACTTTTATAACGTTCTATTTATGCGCACTAAATAAACTCTACTTTAACGTCACTTTTTTTCTTTTTTCCCCCCCAAAAAAAAGAAACTCTTTTTTTTATAGCGTCAGAAATAGAAATAAATTGTAATTTTTTAGCATTCTTTTTTTTAATACGTATGATTTCTTGTCACTGTTAACTTGAAAGTATTAAATTTCAACGAATTGATACAAAAAATGGGTCTTAACCCATTAACGCCCAAATGACCAAAATTTTTACTTGGACTTCAATACACGATTTGAACTATTTTTTCATACCTCAGGCACAAAATCGACGCTTTTAGATAGCAGCCGACAGGAACTAAAAGCCATTCATTTGTCCACTTGAATGAAAAAGGCCGCCATTTTCATACAAGTCGAACAAGTGAATGACTTTTACTCTCTGTCGTCTGCTATCTGAAATCTCCACTTTTGTGCCTTTGAAATAAAAAATATCGTAAGTAACACGGGACTTAAAGGCTGCCAATTTATTAACGATGTTTTTTGTGTCACTCGTTACGGTCCCGGGGCGCCTACGGCGCCCTCGACCTGGGGCGCATGATTATTCCCAAAATGTCGTTTTTCCGAAATGTCATTTCACCAAACTGCCCTTTTGCGAATACTCATTTTTTCGAAAAGCCAATTTTGCGAAATGTCACTTTTGCGAATTGTCATTTTTTCGAAAAGCTATTTTTGCGAATTGTCATTTTTGCGAATCGCCATTTTTACGAATTGTCAATTTTCCGAAAAGTTATTTTTGCGAATCGCCATTTTTACGAATTGTCAATTTTCCGAAAAGTCATTTTTGCGAATTGCCATTTTTACGAAAAGACATTTTTGTGAAATGTCATTTTTGCGAAAAGCCATTTTTGTGAAATGTCATTTTTACGATTAGTCATTTTTGCGAAAAGTCATTTTTGCGAATTGTCACTTTTGCGGATCGCTATTTTTACGAATTGACATTTTTCCGAATTGTCATTTTTGCGAATAGTCATTTTTGCGAAAAGTTATTTTTACGAATTGTCATTTTTGCAAATTGTCATTTGTGCGAAAATTCCTATAGTGAATCTATATATGCATACAAGTTTATTATAGGAATTTTCGCAAAAATGACAATTCGCAAAAATGACTTTTCGAAAAATTGACAATTCGTAAAAATGGCGATTCGCAAAAATGTCTTTTCGGAAAATTGACAATTCGTAAAAATGGCGATTCGCAAAAATGACAATTCGCAAAAATGACTTTTCAAAAAATTGACAAATCGTAAAAATGTCGATTCGCAAAAATGACTTTTCGGAAAATTGACAATTCGTAAAAATGTCCATTCGCAAAAATGACAATTCGCAAAAATGACATTTCACAAAAGTGACATTTGGGGAATAATCATGCGTCTCCTCGACCTCCACTCGTGTCACAAAAATCACCGTTAATAAATGGCTACCTTTACGTACCTTGTTGCTTAATATACTAATAGACAATAAATTTTAGCATCAATCAGATGTAGGGGGTTTTTGGGGTCGCTCTTTCAGATTCTGGGGTCAAAATAGCGACTCGATCAACACAAAATCCAATATGGCGGCTATTTTGAAAAAAAACCCCAAAAAAAGGTACATTTTTTTTAATATTTTTTTTCAGATCTAAAAATTTTTTTTAAACCTTTCTTAAGTATGCTATTGGTGGGCAAAATAGTTGTACTTTCAAAATATAAAATAGAGAAATCCAGATTTCAAGATGGCGGAATCAAAATTTTGAAAAAGTAAATGCATTATAGTAAAAAAATCAAAATTTACAACAACATTCAAAAAGTTTGCAAATTCGATTCAAAATGTATACTCGGAGGTTTTTGGGGTCGCTGATGACGAATCCGATTTCAGATTTTTAAAATTAAAAATGGCGGATCCAATATGGCCAACATTTTTCAAAAAGAATTTTGGATTCGCTTAAAATTTGTCACTTGGAGGTTTTATGGGTCGCTGATGACGATTCCGATGCCAGTTTTTCATAATTAAAAATGGCGGATCCAATATGGCGGAAATTTTTTTTAAAAAATTTGCATTTCCTTGAAACTTGTCACTAGGGGGTTTTCGGGGTCGCTAATGACGAATCTAATGTCAGTTTTTTAAAATTCAAAATGACGGATCCAATATGGCATATCGTGAAGATCCACTTCACCCATGAACTTATTGGAAGGGTGAAATGCGTTAGGAAATTTCAATGGAATTTCATATGGAAATATGGAAAACAATTGAAGAACGAAGCAACTTTATGTAAGTGTATGCGTATGTTAACGATCGTAAAAACATCAGAAGGTTAATTGTTGAATTAATAATTGTATTGTGAAAAGAATACTTTATTAAAGGTAAAAAAATGGAAAAAAATTGCATTGGGATCTCGTGTTATTTTTAACATAAAAGTAGAACAAATTTTACAAATGCTGGTTTCATAGAACAGCTCACGGTGGTCTTCAAGCACTTTTAGGTTTACCTAAAATGAGTTAAAATTGTGCTAACGCAGTTTTATCTGGAATCGTCCCAAGATTCCAAATTTTCGTTTCCGAAAATCGTAGCTGATTCTTTTTTCGAAAAAAACATATATAGAGTAATGTCACCTTGAGTGGACCGCCTACGCTTTTTCTCTAAAAAATTTGTTATGAAAGCAAAATAATCGGAGGTTTCTATTTCAAGCTTTAGTTTAAATCTCTAGATAAGTGTTTATGCCATAATAGCTTTAATTTTTTTTTATTGGAAAAAACAATTGACTTTTAAAAAAAGCTAATTTTTAAGGAATGAAAAAAGTGTAACCTTGAGTGGACCACTCCTAAAAAATTGTAAAAGTTATTCTAAATTCTTTAATGTATTTAATATTTCTGATATATTGAAACAAAATTTATGCTTATGCAGCTTCAGACCATGTATGTGTCGCAATGTTTACAAGTGAAACCATTTTTAATAATTTTGTCACATATCACATCAATATCACAAAAAAATTAATAAAGAACATAAATAATTGTTTCAAACTAATTTATTGTCAATTTATATCTAAAAAAATGTTAAACTGACATTAAAAATGGAAAAAACAGGCAGTCCACTCATGGTTATAAACAGTGGTCCACTCATGGTGACAAACAACTTTTTATGGCAGCCATCACAATTTTTTTTAATCAAAATTATCACTAAATTAAACTAAGACAATCAATTTCAATGTCCAAAGTAGTAGGAAAAAAATAAGTTACCTTTTAAAACTTAAATTTTACACTACTTTTACACTTCCAAATCACTTTACTCATTGAAAGAGCGACTTCTTTTTTGGTTTGTGTTCTCAAAAATGCGTTACATCAAACGGTAACGTATATGATTATCGCGGAACTTAATTTCTTACGGTTTCTAGGTGCGGTGCTGCTATTCGCACTATTTATTTCACTTTTCCGCTGTCAGATAACTTAAAAGCTCAGGCGGTCCACTCAAGGTGACATTACCCTATGGGGAATTCCACGTGAGATTTTAGTCGACAGTGGGATTCTTTTACAATTAACTTTTTAAAACTATCTACAGCGTAGACCCTTTAATTTAAAACAAAGAACACAAATAGATTAAAATTTATACGCTGCAGACAGTTCTAAAAAGTTATTTGTAAAAATATCCCATGTGATGCTTGCAAGTGATTTTTGAAAATGTTTTAAAACTCATTTAACACATCAGGCCCATTTCGGGACTTTTTGGAAACTCTCCTCTATAATAGAAGGTATCCTAAACTCAATATTTTCGGAATTATAAGCTACTGAATATAAGTCTACAATTACAAGTCAAAAATTTCGAAAATTCATAACTCGAAAATTTGTACAATTAAACAAAAATAAAAAAATACAAATCTAATTTGTTTCGATACAGAATAGAAAAAAAATATTTTTTGGCCGATTTTAAAAGATGGACTTAAATCTCACGTGGAATTGCCCATATATACCTATGTTTTTTTCGAAAAAAGAATCAGCTACGATTTTCGGAAATGAAAATTTGGAATCTTGGGACGATTCCAGATAAAACTGCGTTAGCACAATTTTGACTCATTTTAGGTAACCCTAAAAGTGCTTGAAGACCACCGTGAGCTATAAAGAGAGAGCAAAAATTAAAATTTCATTGAAATTCCCTAACGCATTTCACCTTTCCAATAAGTTAATGGGTTAAGTGGATCTCTACGATAAGCCATATTGAATCCGCCATTTTGAATTTTGAAAAACTTTCATCCTATTCGTCATCAGCGACACCGAAAACCCTCGAGTGACAAGTTTCAAGCAAATCGAATTTAAAAAAAAAATGTCCGCCATATTGAATCCGCTATTTTGAATTTTGAAAAACTGTTATCGGATTCGTCATCAGCGACCCCAAAAACCCCCAAGTGACAAGTTTCAAGCGAATGCAAATTTTAAAAAAAAATGTCCGCCATATTGGATCCGCCATTTTGAATTTTAAAAATCTGACATCGGATTCGTCATCAGCGACCCCAAAAACCCCCGAGTATACATTTTGAATCGAATTTGCAAACTTTTTGAATGTTGTTGTAAATTTTGATTTTTTTACTATAATGCATTTACTTTTTCAAAATTTTAATTCCGTTATCTTGAAATCAGAATTTTTCTATTTTCTATTTTGAAAGAACAACTATTTTGATCACCAATAGCATACTTAAGAAAGGTTTAAAAAAAATTTTTAGATCTGAAAAAAAATATATAAAAAAAATGTACTTATTTTTTTTTCAAAATAGCCACTATATTGGATTTTGTGTTGATCGAATCGCTATTTTGACCCCAGAATCTGAAAGCGCGAACCCCAAAACCCCCTACATCTCATTGCTGCTAAAATTTATTATTTATAAATACTTCAAATTGTGTATTGAAGTCCAAGTAAAAATTTTGGTCATTTGGGCGTTAATTGGTTAAATCCTAAAATCATCTTAGTTTTTACCTATG